GCATAAATAGTAAAATAAGAGTGAAGTCTTAGAATATAAATATCAAAGAGTAAAGTTCATTTATTTACATTTTCTTGTTTATTAAAAAGATCAAAGTTCATGTCAACTGATTAAAAACACGTTTGCATTGTTTAGAATAAGTTATCTTTGTTTTATTGTGAATTGCTTGTGAGAACTGTAATCTCCTACGGGGATATGGTCTGTGAAGGTAACACAGGGTGGAGAAGGAAAAAGAGAGCGCGAGGAGAGAGGGCGGTGGCGCGTGAGTTACACGGAGCATCCGGAGAAGTTAGCTTGTTTTTATCTACTAGTAGTAAGTGTGTTGTGACTTTTCGGACAGATAAGTCACAGTGTCGGTGAGCTAGTGACACAACACGTAAAGTTTCAGCGTGAGTCTGGACTGTGTGCTTTGTTTCTTGCTGCCGTGCACGCATTGAGTTAAAGTGAGGCTAACCCAGCCGTTCGCTAATAAGGACTACTGTAGGCTGCTGTTTCGCTAAAGTTGTGGAGCCTAACAGGCCGCAGAGGATCGTTAGCGAACTGGATAACGACGGACACACCCCAGATAGTCACTCTGAGTACCTCTGGCAACGTGGGAAGCTAAAACAGGTAGCAGGTGGAGCAGGTGGAGATCACGGACTTTCCTCATCTTTGTGCTGCTGCATTCAGAGCGGAGTGTTTCTGAAGGAGCGGAAGACAACCTGTTACCTGGATTAATCTGGTAGGAATTGCACGTTTCACAAGGTACTGAGTTTATTTATTTATGTTTTGCTCTTCCGGTTGGGAGATCTTTTGGATTTACACTGGAGCAGTACAGGCCTGCAGCGTAGGGTTTATCTCTGCCGGCTTTAGGTTTAGTTTGGGACTGTAATTGTTTTATCACTGGTGGTTTACACTGTGTGTGTGGAGATTCTGTGTACAGTGGGTAAATTGCTGTGTGCGTTTTTTGGTTTTATTAGTTTGTTTTCATTGTTTGGTAAATTAAAGGAGGGTTGCAAGGCTCTACTTTACATGGTGTATGACATGATTTACTGCACTATAGACACTAGTGTTCATTTCTGCGTGTAGTGCTACTGTTAAGGAATAAGCTTCATTGATCCCAGAAACAAGAGATTAATTTAAAAACTATCGTACGAGAGTACACTAGGAAAAGAACCCAAAGCCCATTTATTTAATGGTATTGAGTAAATGAGGGCTACAGTTAGAAATATCCTGTCTCAGAGTGACGCTGAAAAACTAGTTCATGCATTTATTACTTCCAGGCTGGACGACTGTAATTCATTATTATCAGGAAGTCCTAAAAACTCGCTGAAAAGCCTTCAGCTGATCCAAAATGCTGCAGCAAGAGTCCTGACAGAGACTAGAAACAGCAGATTTCTCCTACACTAGCTTCTCTTCACAGGATTGACCCCTCATGGCTGCCCCTCCCTCCCCTTTCTTTGCTTTCAGTCTCTTCCTGTTTAAAGAGTTCTTCCTTCCCACCATCAACAAAGTCTTCATATATGGCGTCATGTGATCACTGGAAGCTTAAAACATCTCCCTTCTTGTGCTCAGTGAAAGCCTGAATGGATGGAGGTGTTTTACCTGCTGCGACCTGAGAGCAGGTAACATGATGTGAGTCAGCAGAGTTTCCAGACTGTTCAGGACGCCGCCGGCGCCGCTGCAGTCCAACACGCCAAAGTTCACTTCCTGGAAACATCAGGTTGCACCAGAAGATTAGAATGATTGGCTGCATCCACGTCACAGTCAACCAATGAGGTCTGTGCAGTTTGTTAAAGTTGCAGGTGAGGAGGTGACCCAGACCAGTTACTGACCTGCTGCACGTTAGCGGTGGTTATGGCCTTCTCAGTGGTTCTCAGGAAGAACAGACATTTCCCCAGTAAAGGCTGGAAACACAGAACATGATGGAGTTCAGGTTCCTTTAACGTGACGCAGACAGAGCACTTCCTCTGCACTCTGTCACCAGAGTTCACCATGCAAAGGAAAACCTTTCATAGGCTTTAAAGACGGGGAGAGCTCTGCAGGCTGCTCGTTACCAGTGATGGGAGTAATGGCGCTACTTTTTTCAGTAACGAGTAATCTAATTACTACTCCTATCGCTACAACGCCGTTACAGTTACTAACAAGAAAATATGGTCGCGTTACTATGTTTCAGCAAACAGACGGTTGAAGCTGTGTTCAGCTTACAGCAGCTTATATCAGCTGCAGGAAGTAGCTGTAAGTAATCTGGGCGCTGCAGCTTTAAGCAGCTGTGCTCCTGCAGACAGACCATCACTTTTTGGCACAACAGCTGGAGCTCAGGGGGCAAAACATCACGTTAGTGCTGCTGTTTGACTGAGGAAGAATAAAGGATCGTGGTCAATCACATGACCACTTACAGACAAAGCAACAAGGTGACATATACCAGTTTATAAACTGTGTTGATGGGCCAGTAAAACCAGAGTCATGATAAACAATATAAACGTGTTTGTTCCTCAACAGTTTCATGTTGACTGTCTGAGGACAGCAGCGAGACCTCTCTGCTTATGAGCTGCTGTCAGACCTGCAGCTATCAGGCTGTCATCTTCTGCTTTATACTGGACACAAATGATTATTTTGGAGTCGCACAAATAATTTGTGGCGTCTTATTGAAGAACAGCTGATTGTTCTGGAAATAGTTTAATGGTTATTAAAAAAAAGGTAAATGGCTGCAAATAACTTTGTTGTTTGCAAAACTTGTGCATAATTTTCACATTTATATTTAAAGTTATGAAAATGATTCGTTCAACATGTTCGTGGTTGTTACAGTAAAAATAACTTTTTATGTTTTCTGTCTGATTTTAGATCAGTTGTGTTAACACAGTTTGTCAAAATGAAAACATACGTGTAGATTCAGACATGTGAGGTTGTGCTGAAAACAATGAGACCCAACAAGGCAAAGTAAATAGTTTTTAAAGGTAAATGTGGAGGAAACATCAGCAGCTGTCACGGCTGGGGCAGCAGTCGTGCGGTGGAATGAACGAGGACCCGAGATGCAGACGGCGGTGGAGATGCGAGTGGAGATTTATTTACAGTGACAATAACAAAGGTGAGGAAAGAAGCGAACATCAAGCTAAACTGGGACGAACTAACAGACAAAGCAGGAAACATGAGGGCAGCAGGGAAACACAGAGATGACACGAAGAAGGCAGAGAGACGTGGAGACACACAGTCATGCAGACACACACTATAAATACACAGCAGGTAATGAGGGGATGACACACAGGAGGGGAGCACAGCTGAACCACAAGACGACACACAAACCTTCAAAGTAAAACAGGAAACACACAGACTGTTTTCCAACACAAGGACAGGAACAGAGCACAGAGGACAGACACAGGCAGGGCTGAGAAAACACGAAGCACTAAACATAAGAACCAAACCCTAAGAACGAACACAGACTCAGAATAAACAGCAAACACAAGATGAAACCAAAAGGAAACACAAAACGCTGCGACCCAGGACGCTGACAAGAGGAGTTCACGATGGCCGATTATACCCTGGAGCCCAGAGGCTACTTTTAAAGTAACACAATAGTTACTTTTCAAGTAATTAATTACATCCTTGTAGCTCAGTTACTAAGTTACTTTTTTGAAGAAGTAATTAGTAACTATAATTAATGACTTAATGAATGTTTAATGACTGTTTGAAAGTAACTGGCCCAGCACTGGATATGAGCGAGTTTCCCAGCTGATGCAAACTGGGAAGCTTCTCCTGTTTGAAGTGGATCTATTCAGCTTTTATTTCCTGATCATTTGAAGCATCAACAAAGTTTCTAAAAACAAGCAGCAGTTTGTCATCATTCATAAACTCTGACGTCACAGGAGTGTTTTTATTCCTGTGCCATGTTTGAAAGTTTCTGCATATCAGAGCTGCCAACACGGCACCGACTCAGGCTGGAACTGACTTTAAATGCTTCATCATTCATGATCCTGTTAAAACCACATCCAGGGTAAATGTTATTAGCATGTAGCCTGTAGCTCATGTTGCTGCTCCTCCATGTTTGTAGTCCTTTTTTCTGTGAATAAGTGTTTGTGGAGCTCCTCAGACTTCGGCCTCTCGACCTCCTGATGTTCAGCCTGCAGCTGTCAGTCATCCAGTGTTTGCTCAAAGACTTTAATCACCTCGTTAACCAAACAAAGCAGCACAGTTTGATCCATGGAAACACAAACACGCTCAGGCTCATCGTCTCTGAACAGGACGATGATGAATCGTAGGCTCGGGATTGTTTGGAGCTTAAAGAGAAACCAGATACATCAGAACACAAAAACCCCTGAGAGGTGGATCAATGTGACGTCACACAGCTCTGAGTCCTCGAGTCTGATCCAGGCTCGTGCTTTAAGACATGTTTCTGTGTAACAGCTCAGGTGTGTTCAGGACATTTGATTGGAAGAAGCCGTCTGTGGATAAATGCTGCTCTCCACCTCAGCTGTCAGGTTTACCCAGAGAACGGCCGTCCTGACTTCCAGCAGCCCCACAGTCCTCGTTTCTAATAAACTGGCATCACTGAAACGAACTGTCTGCCTCGCTGTTCAATAATCTGCTCTTTGCCAATTTCCCAGCAGAACCTTCCACTCATATCAGCATTTTTCTGTGATTCTCACATTAACGAAGCATAAAAAGCTGAAGCCAACCTCAGAGTTCCCCGTAGTGAGGAAGAGTTTCCTCTGAGCCACAGCTGAGTTTGATGCGTCCACAAAGGAAGACTGACGGAGGACGGACTCTGGGAGAAAGGCAGATATTAAAAGATATGAATACAAAGTACGGTGCAACAACCAGCAGATTATGAAGAGCGGTCAGACCTTCATGTGTCCGTCATTGAAATGTGGTCAAAGTTACCTGTTTGACATCCTGATAGAAGAAAATCAGCTTCTTGGATCCGTTTGCAGCAAAGAATTCATGGATCAGACTGAACTGGAAGAATCAGACATTAATGACTCAAAGGTTCGACTCTGAGGAAGGATCACGTCTCTGAACTTACTCTGTCATCAGAGACGATGGGTCTTCCACGCCGCCTCCTCCAGGGCTGCCGGCGTTGCCAGCCTGCTCATCAGTATTTATGTCGGGCATCCAGAGCTGCCGCCGTTCCTCCTTCACGGCTCTCGCCTGTTTGGCTACTTCTCTCCTCGCCTCATTGGACAGCAGCATCGTCCTTTTACCAGACACCTGGAGAAACATCAGCTCAGTCTACAGACGCAGAGACCAGTGAGAGCCAAACATCTGCAGGTTTCTGAGGACCACGTTTGACCCTGACTGGAGCATCGATTCTGAGTGCGACGGCCTAAACTGAGCTCCTGCCCCCCCTCCACTGAGACGTTCTCCTGTGATGTGTCATGGGGGGAAGTGTTCCTCACGGTTGGACTCGTGAGAAGTTCAGTCAGTTTATTCAAACTTTAAAACATTTTCAGTGTCTGGATTTCAGCAGAAACAAATGTGAACACAGCACTTTCTGATTGAGTATAAAGGATGAAAGAGTCGGTGATTAGTAACATTGTTGCTGCCTGATGCTGTTGTAGAGCTGTCTTTGGATCCTCACCTTCCTGGAAGCCTTCCCTGGATCGCTCAGATATCATTAACTTGTTTGTGTTCAGTAGGATCAGGTGTTGTGGATGCAGGTCGTAGCTGTGTGAGGCCTGTACAGTCAGCGCTGTGTGAGCGCTGTGTAATGTTAGCTTACACTTCTTTCTGTTGTTATCATCCTTCAGGTTAATGTTGTTGTCATTATGCATCACAGGAAGTGTGGGTGGCTGTTAGCCTCACAGCTCATGGAGAGTTGCTGCTGCTCTGCCTCCTTGTTGATGTTTCTGCTCTTTGTGTTACTTTGTGTTACTTTGTGTCATGTCTGAAACAAAGTGAGTCCATGTTACTAACTGTAGTCGTCTCTCTGTCTCATGCACAGCTGAATGAAAGTGTTTTTATACTTTGTGTAATCTGTTGGGTCTTTGAGGCCTTTTTAAACAGCATATGAGCCACATGTATGTGTGTATATGAAAGGTTGTTTGTAACACATCAAACTGTTGCTTATTCTAGAGCTGCTGCTGTGCCTGATTGGTCTACTCGCTCTAAACTGAAGGTTGATTCTTTTGTTTTTTACATGTTGTCAATAAACCAACTTCTTTCTGATCTGAACGGCGTCTCTGACGTGTCACAGGCCTGTCAGCTTTCTTGGTGCTTGGTACAGTTTTGAGCTTCATGCTCTGGCTGTTGTTGGGTTTTCCTCTTTCACATTAAAGCTTTTGTCCTACATTTGCTCTAAAGTCTAATTCTAATCCCAGCACTGTGTCTGGGTGTGTGATGCTTGTTTCCTGCTCTTTCTCATGAAACAGTCACAACATTCTCAGTCCAACTTTCACTCTTTGCTGCGTTTGCTGCAGCTGCAGTGAACATGGTGCCGTTTGCCTTTAAGAAAGTTGTGCACAAAGGCTTTTTCTCTAGCAGAGACAGCTGTGTGGCTAAAAGTCAGATCATTTTTTACCACCTCAGTCACACTGGACTGAAACAAGAGTGAAACTAGGAAGAATCAGAGTTTGTCCAGTGACTGCACTGATTGTCTTCATATTCACAAACTGATTCTAAGTAGTTGCATCAGCTAATCACCCGGACACTGAGCGTCCAACACGCTCCCTGAAGGAAACCATTACATCCTCCAAACAATCCCAATCTGTCTCTGAACGACTGCAATTATTCTCTGATTTGTGAATAACTGGAATTTATCAATGCAGACACGTTGCCAACATGATGAAGTCAGTCTGAGTCTCTTTGGCGAACTTAACTCAAGTGGTTGCCGACTATTCTGGTTCTATTGCCATATAACAGCAGGGTTGCTGAGCACCTCTGTCACTCTGCACTTATGTTCCCAGGTCTCTTTTGTGGAGGAATTTTCCAGGAATTCCTGGGACCAGCTTTCCATGAGAGACCCGATCAGGAGCGCCTGTCCTGGACACTCCCAGCATCACAGGGACTCACAAACCTGTCTACCACAGTGAGAAGACTGATGGTCACAGGCCCACATGTAGCTTTAGATCACACGTGTGCACTTCCTGTGGTCACTGCTGGAACTCTAGACTCACCGAGGGGCCAGTGGTTGGTGAGGCAGCAGCAGCTGAAGTCATGTGACTAATGGCTCTCAGGTTCTGTCCTCCTATTGGCCGGTGTCCTTCACCTGTCACACCTGGTCCAGAAAGAGTGAGAATGTTCAGAGCTTTAATGGAAAAGAATATTATTCCATATAAAAGGCCTGTAACAAGTATTGTAGAGTTAATCAGGATGAAGTCCATCATGAACACTTCAGAGTGCTTCAGACAGTCGGTGTTTCATCCACAGAGCATCCAGCCTGCATATCAAAGGATCCTGAGGAACGACAGTGAACCCGAGTTCCCCTCATTACATTCATGTGTGTGACTGTGAGGAAAAGGTGATTGTATGAACGTGTGTGAGCGAGTGAATGAGGCTTGTATCAGAGTGGAGATAATGTCAGCGGCACAAGCTGGACGCTGCAGGTGTCACATGTGAATCTGTGCATCAGTGTCTGCACCTTTGTGGAGGTGAAGCTCAGGAGGTTTGGATTTGTTCAAAGCTCTGTCTGCTCCATCTTTCTTTCCCTCGGGCCTCTCCAGATCAGGAAGGAGGTCCTGTTCTCCTTCTCCCTCCTGGACTTCTGGATCCAGGGAAGGATCAAAGTCTCTCAGCCCAGCATCAGAGTTTCTGGCTGGGGGAGGACTGGAAGTTTCAGCTGGAGGCTGAGAGCCTGGATCTGCCATCTGAGTCACAATTCAAATATTCTCAGTAATTTTTAAAGCTCATTCATTTGGACTGAATGTGGGACAGCAGCACATCTGTACTGCTTCAGCTGGACCTCTAACAGCACTTTGTAAATGTTGGACTGTTTGATCTTTCAGCTGCTTCATGAAGCTGCAGATCTTTTCATTGGGTAACAGTTCTGACTGCAGGAGCATGCGCTGCTCTTAAACCTGCAGCTATAGTTGTGCATTAATAACCGTCACAGATGTCCAGGTTACCCCTGCTGTGCGCTCTGATGCACATGTGCTGAACTCCTTTATTCACACAGCCACGTGTTTCTCACCTGCTACCAATGAAAGCTGCTAGTTTTTAAATAAGAAGAGATTTTACACAAAGCTTTTTCTCCTTTTAATGTTTAATATAAACATTTCATTTCAATAATTTCCTTTTTTGACTGATGGTGTCATCTTTCTGTGAAACTGCTGCCATCATCTATCCATAAGACCACAGATAAAGATAAATGTGGTGTTAATAAAGCTCCCAAATAAAAACAAGACTCAGTAATAATAATGAGACGATGTTTCATCAGATCAGAAACCAGCAGGGTTATAATACCTGTGCTGACTCACCTGTGTGTGTCTGTCTGAGGACGAGTCTCTGATACTCTGGGACCAACCAGTGAAGTCAGACTAACAGTGGAAACAGGAAGTGAATGAAAGTTTGACTGTCTCCATGGTAACCCAGGCTGGGGGATTGTGTGTGTTTCTTAGTGACTCTGCAACCAAACACACAACAAAGCTGCCTCCTCTGTGGCTGTTAATTCATTTATTTCAGCCACTGAAATCATTTACAATGATGTCGAAGATTCAAAAAGACATAAAAATACACAGTATATGTATATATTGAATCCAGGTTTTAGACGGTTTCATGTATATTTGGTTTGTTCCTGGTTCGCTGCTACTTTAGAGTTTATTCCTCTCTCAGTGTTTCTCCCTCTCGGGTCAAGTCTCTTGTATTAACTTTGTTCATGTGTCTGTTTCAGTTTTCACATTTCCTGCTTTATTTTGGTGAGTTGTCGTCCTCGTGCTTTGCTTTTGTTTCCCTCGTCTTGTTTGCTGTGTCTTGTTCTCCCGGCTGTCTCCATTTCCGTTTATTGCCCTGCTGTCCATCAGTTATCAGTTTTCTAAGTTCCTGATCTCTGAATTCAAACTCCAGCATAAGAAAGCAGGCAGCAAAACTTTATTTAAACAGGCAGAAGCACAGAGGAGAGTTTAAACCTCAGTAAACAGATTGTAAACACTGATCATGTGATTCAATAGGTTATTCCAGCATTACAGGAAAAACAGCTTCAGTTATATTGGTGCAAACTGACGCTGGTCCCAGATAACCTGAGGTGTTGCTCTTCAACCTGTAGATGTGGTTCAGCATTAATGGAGCTTCACATATTTGCTGGTTTGTGCACTAATAATTACTGAGGTCCCAGACTCTGCTTCAGTCCATCCAATGTCCTGCTCAGCATCTAATCAGAGTCCAGGTTTTAACGAGAGGCACTTTCAGAACTAAAGTGCAGTTTAAAAACACGTCACATGAAGATCACAATGACACCGTCAGCGGTCTTTGAGATTCATGGTCACAGCTCCACAGACTCTTTCTGTCACGGCTGCACAGCAGTCGTGTGGTGAATTGAGAAAAGGATCCAAGATGCAGGCACTGACTGGGGTGCGAGTGAATGTTTATTTGCAGAGGTGATAAGGTGACAAAAACAGGAGGAGCAGAGCGGGGAGTAAACCAACCTAAACTGGGGGAAACTGGTTTGACCGAAGCTGCAAAGACAGTCAGCAGGGTCTGGATGCATTCAGCACCACGTCCTTGTTGGGCCTTCAGTGATAGGACAGTTTATTATGCTGCTAACGTTAATAAGTCTGTTCACCTGTAGAGCTCATTTAAACACATCAGGTGTAGAACATCATGTGTCACGGCGTGTCCAAATTCACAGGCTGCATCCTCCTGAGGACCCGGCCTTCAAGGTCTACGTGGGCCGGGTCCTCCAAAGGTCGGGTAGGCGGAAGTGAGCGGCTGTGACGGTCTGGCCTTCAGATTAGCGTCACCGCTGTCTCGGTGGAGTTTAATAAACTCGGCCGTCTGCTCCTTGCTGTCTAAAATGTAACAGGACACTGGAGTAAACTCTCGACCGTCTCACACTTCTGTTTAATCAGTTTGATGTTTATTCAGCTGTGTGAACATTATAACTCTAATCTGAGCCAAACCGATTTACTCAGGAACAAATAAAACACTGAAAAAAGCCCAACAACATTTTTACGTTATCTGAGTGACGTATATATCATGTTTAAGCTGAGTAGCCAAAGGCCGCGGGGGTTTGAAACGATGTGCTGGGAGTTGGCTGTTCTCGCCCCGGTCAGCTATCGAGCTGGTGGGTAACAGACGTCTCCAAAAACGTCGGCGCACTTTTGCAAATGTGTGATGTCTTGACAAACCGAGCAGATATTTGAAGTTTACACTCCTACATTCTCAAACAGGAGCCCCAGCAGAGATGGATGGCTGGCGCGGCTCTCCGGAGCCCCCAGTCGGAGCAGATGAAGGGCCAGCAGGTGTGGAGACCCCTGGCTGAGGCAGCTGAAGCTGTGGGTGGCTGTCAGCCAGCTCAGGATGCCTTTTGGGCAGCAGCAGCATAAACTCCTCAGCAGCCTGGGTAAGCTTGCTCTCTGTGGAGGCTGTTGCAGCTGACTCACCCGAGCGGTGCAAACTTAGTTACCTTCAAGGCTCCAGAGTCAGCTGAGGTCAGCAGCTCAGCCTCTGGGGAGGTTACAATCCCTGGAACAGCCAGGTCTCTACAACCAGAAACAGTCTTTGCATGTGCAGCTTCAGAACCAGACTTGAAGTTCCAGTTCCAGTGTCCGATGTCCCAGAAACACTCAAGTGCTCACTGAGCAATCTCCTGAGGCCAACACTCAGAAAGTCAAAGAGTCTTTGAGCCTTTGTGGGAACATTTATCGTCTGTGCTGGAAAGGTGGAAACATCTGGGAGATGCAGCCTTAATACACTGGGTTTCACATGTCCTTGGAGGCAGCTCACTAAACTCAGGGATGCAGACAAAAGCAGCACTTGCAGGAACACAATGTGTCCTCTCACAATGAGCTTGGAAGCAGAAACTGAGTTTCCCTCACTGACTGTTTTAGACAGGGTTGTGGGAGCAACACAAACAGCAGCTTCAGCTGGAAACAAACAGTTTAGTGTCTTTGCTGCTCACTTTAAGTCACAATAAACAGAAAACTCATTGTGTCTCGTGTCAGAATCACTCATACACAGGAAAGGAAGAGGCGGAGCTTATTTCCTGCAGGGAGAGGTTAGCAGTCTGTCTTTCTCATTTCTGACTCCTAAAGAGCTGAAAAACACAGGCTGTTATTGGCTGGCTGACACTGGGATTAAAGTCCTTGAAGCCAGCAGTCTTTAATGTCCAGCTTCAGGACGGGCAGGTGAAAAACTGTCCTTTATGTCCTCTGATGTTCAATAAACTGTCCTGATTACTGAGGGAGCAGAGAAAGTGTCTCCATCACTCTCCACAGCTGGATGCTCTGAAATCCAGCTGTGGAGAGGAGCGCCGGCGGCGTGGACGCAGTTTAGTAATCAGGGAACGGGAGACAGGAGGGAGACACAGCTGGGACCAATTACACACACGAGACAGGAAACAGTAACACGGGACTGTCAAAGTAAAACAGGAAACACAGAGTCCAAAGTAAGGAGACGTGGGACACAGTGAAGACACACAAACCAGAACTATAATCACAAAACTCAGAGACATAAAGAGTGAATCAGCTGATTCAGTGTTTGTGACAAAAACATGGATCCTGGTTAATAAGTTGTGTTTGTTGGTTTCTGTATTATTTTGTGTATCGCTCTTATGAGCTGTTGTTTTTTCACTGAAATATTATTTCATTTTTTAAGCTTTTTGTTGACTTTGAAGTGCTTAAGTTGATATTTTTGAACATTTAATTTGTTCGATTATTGTCGAGTGGATAAAACTGTCAAACACAGCTGCTTCCAGCATGGCCGGAGGAGAGGTGGCCAAGCAGACGCACAACACACACAGCTCACAGGTTTGCATTTCTAGATGTTGCAGATGTTGCAGAAATTGGCCGTAAAGAACTCAGAGATCCAGCGCTGTCTCCTGCCCCTGATTTATACACCACAACACAACGACAGGCGTAACTCACACAAACAGGCAACATGAGGCTCAGATGCTTTGGACGTGTTCACATATAATGGACACAGAATGATGAAGATGGAGCTGCAGGAAGGAGGAAAAGAGGGAAACAGAAAAGATTCACAGATGTGGTGAAAAAGGACACGACAGCTTCTGTTTGTTAGTTTGGGTTTTCTTTATTTGGTAAAGACTCAGAAATAAAGAGAAGATCACATGTTTGAATATCATATTAATGTTCTGTAATACACAAGTTGTAAAATCTTTCCAGAGTCAGACAGAGACTGTGTAGAGACGGTAGAAGGACAGAGCAGCAGCAGGGCAGTCCAGATACACTGATGATCCTGTCAGATCCAGAGGGACACACAGGGATGATGCTGGACTCTACATTGTGTCTGACAGTGGAGCTGTTCTCAGAGCAGTTCACTCTGCAGCACTGACAGTCATCTGCACTTCATTCCTCTGTCAGTCACTGCTGGATGAAGCTCTCCTCTCCACCTCCCAGTAACATGGCCCAGTCAGAGCGTCTCTACACACAAGCTGCTGCTGCTTCAACCTCTCTGGATCATCAGGACACAGCTGCTCCTCTCAGCACACACACCGTCCTGTTTACCATCATCACCACCTGCAGAGAGAAGGAGGAAGAGCAGAGGAGATAAACGAGTGTTTCCAGAGACTCTTCATCAGCTGTCAGTGATGCAGCACATCCAGTATAAAGAGCAGCAGGGACATCAGTGCTGGGACTGTACTAGGACTCATTGTTGCTTCACTTTCTCTAATCTTTGGATTTTTATTGAAGTTGATGAAAATGCTTTGGACAATTATTAGTACCTTGTTTGGGCAAACAAAGGTACTAATAATTGACATCAAAGAGAGACAAAATGGCAAAGATGAAGAAAGTCGAAGAAGATCTGGAAGAGATTAAGCATTCACTTAATTCGTTAACGTCGGAAATTGAAAAAGTAAATAAGCAACAAGGAATATTAATGTCGATGATGGAGCAAATCAAAGAACTAAGAGATCTGGTCAAGGAGAAAGATAAGACAATCCATTTTTTGGAAAGGAAGGTGGACGACCTAGAACAGCAGGCTCGACTCGAGGAAATGGTCATTACAGGTCTGGAAACTAAACACAGAACATATGCGAGAGTTACCGAATCTGGGACTGGTGCAAAACGAGGAGAGGACGTGCCCCCGATGGAGGAGCTACAATCGTTGGAACGGCAGGTTGTGGAATTCTTTTCGAGTAAAAATCTTCCCCTGCATAGTAACAATATATCTGCATGCTATACTCTTCCTAGAAGGCACAAAAATGCTCCTCCAGCAATTGTAGTGAGATTTGTTAATCGAAAACACAAAGTAGAATTGCTGAGACGGTCCAGCCTTTTGAAAGGAAGTGGAGTATATCTGAATGAACATCTTACAAAAAGAAATGCAGATATTGCAAGACAAGCTCGTATTTTACGGAAGGAGAAAAAGATTCAAGCAACCTGGACCAGGAATTGCAAAGTGATGATTAAACTGAATGGAACACCAGAAGAAGCCAAGGTTGTAACGATTAAGGAACTTGAGGAATTGGACAATTATACGTGATAATATGATTAAGATAGACAAATGGTTGCGACCAATTATGGCTATAACCAGTTTATTTTTGGCAAGGTCAAATGCTACCTCGGGAGGAAAAGGACAAAAGGAAATTGTAAAATTGGATATGGAAGATAACAAGATCAACGGACTTTAAAATATGTTGATAAATGAATGTGAGATTGCTTAGGATCTTTTCTTTCCTTTTTCAGTTTTTTTTTTTTTTTTTCTCCTTCTTTTCTCTTTTTGTTTCCTTCTCTTTCTTATGAGGTAATAGATAGCGCTAGAATAATTTATGCATTATGTTTGACGACACAGATTATAAATCATATGATTTTGAAGTAGGTATTGACCCTGAAAGGAATGTGCTTAATACAATTAATGTCACATGTGATTATTTTACAGAGGAGCAATTCAGGGATAAGGTTGATATAGCCAATACATTTTCTTTAATTCATATTAACTGCAGAAGTCTTTATAGAAGTTTTGCTTCGATTGAAGATTTTCTGTATAGTCTGAGAGGCAAGTTTCAAATAATTGCTCTGTCTGAAACATGGTTAGATGAGAATAAGGGTTGTAATTTTTGTATTGAAGGATACGATTTGTACTTTGTGAATAGAATTAAGACAAAGGCAGGAGGGGTGGCACTTTTCGTTAATTGTGATTTGAAATGTAAAAAAGTTGAATGTATGTCTGTTGTTATGGATGATTTAATGGAGTCTGTGACAGTAGAATTGGATATAGAAAAGAGAAGTAATATAATTGTAACGTGTATATATAGGAAACCGGGATCACAGATTGAGTTATTTACAGAAGCAGTAGAAAATTTATTGAGTAAGGTTAAGGGAAATAAGACTGTATGTTTGTGTGGTGATTATAATATTGATCTTTGTAAAGTGACAAATGATAAGGCTTCGTCAGATTTTTTTGAATTATTATATGGTAAAGGATTTTATCCTTTAATTATAAAGCCGAGTAGAATAACGGATAAATCAGAAACACTAATTGATCATATTTTTATTAATAGTTTGGAGAATAATATTGAAAGTGGCCTCATCATAAATGATATAAGCGATCATCTACCAGTCTTTTTTATTTTCGATTTAAATATGAAAAGAAAGAAAGAAGTTAGTTTTGTGAGTTATAGAAGGTTAAGAAATGATGAAGCAATTAATAGGTTTAGACAAGATCTCATGGAAACGGACTGGAAGGAGGTTTATGTTAATGAGGTCAACATTGCATACGGAGTATTTCTAAATATATATTTGGCCTTGTATGATAAACATTGTCCATTGATATCATTTAAGCATAAGAAAAAGAATATAAATATGAAACCTTGGATAACTAAGGGTCTTGCAAATGCGTGTAAAAAGAAAAATAATTTATATAGGGAGTATATAATATATAGAACTAAAAACGCGGAAATGAAATATAAACTATATAAAAATAAGTTGGTATTAATATTGAGGAAAGCTAAGAAAGATTACTATAATAAAGTTTTTCAGGAAAACAAAAATAATATTAAGGGCATTTGGAATATTTTTAAAGAGGTATTGGGTAATAAGAACACACCCAAAGTTCGGCCTAATTATTTTATTAATAATAATCAAGTTGTTAAAGATAAGACCGAAGTAGCAAACGAATTCAATTCTTTTTTTGTAAATGTTGGACCTACTTTAGCAAATTTAATCAGGAAAAATGATGATCCAGGAGATGAGGAAGCCTGGATAGGTGATAATAGAATGGTTAATTCCATATTCTTAGCCGATACTACCATAAAAGAAATAGTAGCAATTGTAAAAAATTGTAAAAATAAAAAATCTACTGATTGTGATGGTATAGACATGGTCATAATTAAAAAGACAATAGATTGTATAAGTACTCCTCTTTGTTATATTTTTAATCTTTCGCTACAGTCAGGAGTATTCCCTGACAGAATGAAAGTGGCAAAAGTAATACCATTATATAAATCAGGAGATAAGCATAGTTTTAACAATTATAGGCCAGTGTCTCTTTTATCACAGTTTTCAAAATTGCTAGAAAAACT